TCTTCAAGGAGAACTACAAACCACTGCTCAATGAAATAGGAGAGGACACAAACAGATGGAGAAACATTCCATATTTGTGGTTAGGAAGAATCAATATCGTGAAAATGGCCATACTGCCCAAAGTAATTTACAGATTCAATGCTATCCCCATCAAGCTACCGATGACCTTCTTCACAGAACTGGAAAAAAAACACCTTAAACTTCATATGGAACCAAAAGAGAGCCCACATAGCCAAGTCAATTCTAAGCAAAAAGAACAAAGCGGTAGGCATCACACTACCAAACTTCAAACTATACTACAAATCTACAGTAATCAAAACAGCATGACACTGGTACCAAAACAGAGATATAAACCAATGGAACAGGACAGAGGATGCAACACAACACATCTACAACCATCTGATCTTTGACAAACCTGACAAAAACAAGCCATGGGGAAAGGATTCCTGTTTAATAAATGGTGTTGGGAAAACTGGCTAGCCAGGTGCAGAAAGCAGAAACTGGACCCCTTCCTGACACCTGACACTAAAATGAACTCCAGATGGATTGAAGACTTCAACATAAGACCTAACACCATAAAAACCCTGGAAAAAAACCTAGGCAAAACCATTCAGGACATAGGCATAGGCAAGGACTTCATGACCAAAACACCAAAAGCATTGGTAACAAAAGCCAAAATAGACAAATGGATACTGATCAAACTCCACAGCTTCTACACAGCAAAAGAAACAGTCATTAGAGTGAATTGGCAACCAACAGAATGGAAAAAAATGTTGCAATCTACCCATCTGACAAGGGCTGATATCCAGAATCTACAAAGAACTAAAACAGATTTACAAGATAAAAACAAGCCCATTCAAAAGTGGGCCAAGGATATGAACAGACACTTTACAAAAGAAGACATACATGAGGCCAAAAAACATATGAAAAAATGCTCATCATCACTGGTCATTAGAAAAATGCAAATCAAAACTACATTGAGATACCATCTCACGCGAGTTAGAATGGCGATCATTAAAAAATCCGGAGAGAACAGTTGCTGGAGAGGATGTGGAGAAATAGGAGCACTGTTACACTGTTGGTGGGAGTGTAAATTAGTTCAACCATTGTGGAAGACAGTGTGGTGATTCCTCGAGGACCTAGAAACAGAAATTCCATTTGACCCGGAAATCCCATTACTGAGTATATATCCAAAGGATTATAAATTGTTCTACTATAAGGTCACATGCACATGAATGTTCATTGCAGCATAGTTTACAATAGTAAAGACCTAGAACCAATCCAAATGCCTACTGATGATAGACTGGACAGGGAAAATGTGGCACATATACACCATGGAATATTATGCAGCCATCAAAAACGATGAGTTTGCGTACTTTGTAGGGACATGGATGAACCTGGAAACTATCATTCTCAGCAAACTGACACAAGAACAGAAAATCAAACACCACATGTTCTCACTCATAGGTGGGTGTTGAACAATGAGAACACATGGACACAGGGAGGGAAGCATCACACACTGGGGTTTGTCGGGGGAAATAGGGGAGGGACAGTGGTGGGTGGGTAGTTTGGGAGAGATAGCATGGTGAGAAATGCCACATATAGGTGATGGGGAGGAAGGCAGCAAATCACACTGCCATGTGTGTACCTATGCAACAATCTTGCATGTTCTTCACATGTACCCCAAAACCTAAAATGCAATTTAAAAAAAATAAAATTTTTAAAAAACTAGCTGGTCATTGTAGCACACACCTATAATCCCAGCTACTTCATCGGCTGAAGTGAGAGGATCGCTTGAGCTCAGGAGGTGGAGGCTGCAGTGAGCTGAAGCAGTGCCACGGCACTCCAGCCTGGGAAGTAAAGCGAGACCCTGTCTCAAATACAAATACAAATATAAATTATACACTACAAAGCAATTATTGTAGCCAAAACAGCATGGTATTGGTATAAAAACAGAGACAGACCAATGGAACAAAAGAGAGAACCCAGAAATAAATCTACATACTTAAACTAATTTTTTGACAAAGGCACCATGAATGTACATTGGGGAAAGGACATCTTCTTTAATAAATGGTGCTGGGAAAACTGGATATTGATAAGGAGAAGAACAGTAGACCCCATCTGTCATCACATACAAAAATCAATTCAAAATGGATTAAAGACTTGGATGGATTAAGGCATAAAACTATCAAACTACTAGAAGAAAACTTACGGGAAATGCTTCAGGATATGGGTCTAGGCAACGATTTTATGGGTAAGACTTCAAAAGCACAGGCAACACAAACAACAGCAACAGACAAATGAGACTATATTAATCCAAAAACTGTACCAGTCAACGGAGTGAAGAGACAGCCTGCAGAATGGGAGAAAATATTTGCAAATTATTCATCTAACAAGGAAATAATACGCAGAATATACAAGGAATACAAATGACTCAACGGCAAAAAACAAATAATAATATAAAGTGGGCAAAGGACACAAATAGATATTTCTCAAAAGAAAACAAACAAATGGCCAACAGGCATATGAAAATAAAAAGCTCAACATCACGAATCATCAGAGAAACGAAAATCAAAACCACAGGAGATACCATCTCCCCTCAGTTAAAATGATGATTATCAAGAAGACAAATGCTGGTGAGGATGTGGAGAAAAGGGAATTCATACACTGTTGTTGGGAATGTAAGTTAGTACAGCCATTATGGAAAGCGTTTGGAGATTTCTCAAAAAAACTAAAAATAGAACTACCACATGATCCAACAATCCCATTACTGGGATAAATAATCCCAGAAATATTGATTCCTAGGAAATTGGTATCTGATTTCCTTTCCTTTGGATAAGTAACACAGTATTGAGATTGCTGGATCATATGGTAGTTCTATTTTTAGTTTTTTGAGAAATCTGCATATTGCTTTCCATAATGGAAATCAGTATCCAAAAAAAGGAGGGGTATCTGCGCACCCTTGTTTATTGCAGCACTATTCCAATAGCCAAGATATGGAATCACTAAGCGTCCATCAACAGATGAATGGATAAAGAAAATGTGGAAGCTGGGCGAGGTGGCTCACACCTGTAATTCCAGCACTTTGGGAGGCAGAGGCAGGCAGATCACGAGGTCAGCAGTTCAAGACCAGTCTGGTTAACATAGTGAAACCTCGTTTCTACTAAAAATACAAAAAAATTAGCTGGGCGTGGTGGGCACCCGTAATCTCAGCTACTCTGGAGGCCGAGGCAGGAGAACTGCTTGAACCCGGGAGGCAGAGGTTGTAGTGAGCTGAGACTGCGCCATTATACTCCAGCCCAGGTGACAGTGCAAGACTCTTTCTC